TATCCGTAAAAATGATCGTAATGCGATTAATTTAAACAGCCGCGGGAGCAGCTGCGGAAGGAAAATCTATGCGGTTTTTACGACCTCACCGGCAGCAGGCTTTAATTTCTTCTCGTCTTTATCACCGACGAAAGAAGCGCCCATTTTAAAGAGCAATCATAAAATGCGCGACTACTTTGTCACGCTTATGTCATCAACGTCCGCTTCAATCTCTCACCCTCGATAGAATCTCAACACACGATCAAGCGTGAGTTATGAAGATTCAGTTTCCGCGAAGAAACTAGTTGGGAGACGTTCGCAGCCGCGGTAGAATTTAACGCCCGCGTTCGCAAGGGCCTAACATTCTACTCGCGAAGGGACGCCATCGCCCCTCTTTTCACAACGGTGTGGATGTTTAACTACTTTCTTTCTTATTTTCCGCGACAACGATATCGCGACGAGGCCCTAACGAGGCAACTTCGCTTATAACCAGCGTTTATGTCAAGAGCGCTTCTTGGGAACATTCCGCTCGAGGGGTTAGTCCGCGATAGAAATTTTCCTGCGACCGGAGGCCACTGTGGTTTAAAGTTAAATTGTAACAAGAGCATTGTTATCGAGCAGTCCTGAGACGAGCTGCTGTCATCTGTCCGTGACGTCTGCCGCGACGCGCCTTTGCAATTATCGGCAAATTCATAGTTTTTTCGATTGCTCGCGCGATTTCAAGTGGGCATAATATATGGCAATAATACATGGCAATATGTGGCAATAATATATGGCAACAATATACGGCAACAATATATGACAACAATATATGGCAGCAATATATGGCAATAATATATAGCCATAATATATGGCAATAATTCATGGAATATATTTTTCGTTACAAAAGTCAATGCAAATTTGCGACATGCACAATGTAATAATAAAAGAGCTCTCTGCGAGCATTGAGTCAAACGCTCACCGATGATGATATTAATGATGTCCCGTTGCATCCAACCAGATCCACCCATGTCCGTCCATGACCGCTGCCGCTCTCCATGTCGCGCAGCATCCATCTTGCAGCACGTCCCACGTTGATTGCTACACTTTCGCGACGCGGTTGATATTTGTATTAGAGCGGCGATATTTTCGTCAATTAACGAACGTTTTACGTCGACATCGGTGGAAACTTTTCACGCGCTGCGAAACGGATTACTATAAACTCGATCGGCGAGGAGCAAGAACCGTGTGAAAATTTATCGACTCGTCCGACGGATTTTTACGGCGCTTTTCGCGATCGCGTCTGAAAAGTCGCGAAAATGCGGGAGTATCGATATCTACGAGTGAAATATTCGCGAATGCACGAGGAAAGTTAAACAATCAGAAACCGGTCACTCCGAGGGAGCGCAAAGAAAGAGAGCGGGGCAAAGTTTTCACGCATGATACGACGAAGCTTACGTTCGTGATACTTTGGCGAAATGAGAATTTAAGCTTTCTTTGTTAGCAGCGCGGGTAAAAACGCGTATATTAATAACCGCGGTCGCGATATTCAAAGGCACGCGAGCGAGGATACCTCAAGCTCGGCGTGCGCTGGCGCAATTTCTGCGCGCATTATACACTACTCGAGACAATAGGGATCGTGATGAATGGACAATATTGCCAAATAATTGTACAGCCTGTTTTGGAAATAAAAGAGAAAAGTAGCCAACGGTATCGGCATTTATGCGTATAAATATATTTTACACGGACAATTGAATATTTATTGTCAAATAATTGTCGTTAAATAATTCTGCGGCCCGCTTAAAAAATGAAAATAAAGCAGCTGATGACGGTATCGCGTTTGTAGATATGAATATTTCTTATTCAGATAACTGAACATCAAAAGAGAATCATTCGGTATTTTAAATGTATGTAATGCAGGCTATCGATCAAGTAATACCCTGATTGTTTCGAGCAGTGTATTTTATTCAACGTCACAAACACACACATGCAAGAATCTATTTGCAATTTGCATTGACTAGAACGATATTTTTCAGTCCCACATCCGTCATGCAGAATTTTGTTTCCCTTTTCATTTTAACTCACCAAAACGACTTGCAGTCAGAGCCGGCCACGTTCCGCTTCAACTCTGTAACAAAAAATTCACATTGGCTCATCAGATTTGACCAACGAGTGAGGGATCAACACGTAAAAGAATAGTTTACCCTCTGCGATCGTAATTCAAGTCGAGCCGGAAATTATATCCCAGCTCTAGATCGCCAAGGGTCAAACAGAGGACTATAGTAAACTTGTAAACTTACCTTCAAGCCGACTCTGCTTGGCCCGAACCGGATCCTCCGGTGCGGCATCCGCGTCCACTGGATTGCTGTTGCTTTCCGCAACAACTGAAACAAAAAAATAATTTTCCCGGTTGATAACCTGCGGTAGAAAGAAAATATCTTTGATCGGGACGAATCGAAAATACGGAAATATTTTGATACGGAATTTTTATCTTTATATTTTTGTTCCAACATTGAAAATTTAAATGAGACTTGAAGCTTTCAAGAAAGCTGATGAGGAACAAGTTGCAAAGGCAAAGGATTGTAAAGGGTTGAACACAGATGTGTGGGAAACTTGTAAACTTTACCTTCCGGCCGACCCTGCTCTGCCCGAACCGGATCCTCCGGTACGGCATCCGCGTCCGCCTTGCTTCCCGCAACGTCTGGAACAAAAATTTAGTGTTCTTGGTTGGTAAGCTGCGGTAGAGAAAGAATGTTTGGTCGGGATGAGTGGAGAATATTCTCTACGATTTTTTTTCTTCATTGACATTGAATGTCTAGATAGGAGCTCTTGAAAGAACTGACAAAAAAATGACAACAAGAAGCGGAGACAACAGTTGTATACTCTCGAAAATACTCTTTTACGAATGGACATTTAAATTTAGATTCCGTAACGAGAGTAAACAGACTTGAACGAAGCGCTGACCGAAAACAAGAAAGATTGCAGTCTAAGGGCCGTATTCATAGTCCGGTCTTATAAATATTTAAGATCGTCTTAAATTCATCTTCAGATGCTGTATAGATCATTTCATTAGCTACAGAATATCTGAACGTGTACTCAAGATGGCCTTAAATATAAGATCTGACTATGAATACGACCCCTAGAAGCGGTATGACGTTGAATATTCTACACAAGACCGGTATACTTACACAGTTGGAAATTATTCAGAATGTTTGATTGAGAACATGATGAATTAGAGATCCGCGTTCATGGACCGTTATCCGTCTCTTGTATACAACAACGCAATAAATAGATAAACAGACAGAGATTGACGAGAGTAATTGCAGATTCATAAAGTCATGATTACTAGTCGGATGATGACGGATCGTGAATGTCGAGCGCGAAATTCCGACTTCTTATTCCCGGAAAATTCGCCAAACGTCCGCTCTCGTTATCGGAGACCTCCCGCATAATAAATGATTCCACATACCTGGAAACGTGACGTATTGCTGCCGGCGTCCTGCTTCCCGGCTGCTGGAGTCCTTCGGATTTCACTCGCTCATGCTTCTAATGTCGGTACTCGCGATTCGACCGTGTGGTTAATCAACGCGATGCCGACGCGATGTCGATTGAGTATCTCGAGGACCGACGAGATACATTTCTTTCAATTACACGAGACGGAAGTGACGAGCGCGTCGCGCACGGCTGCTGTTGATGGAATGAGGTAGAATACACGAGGTGCGCGAGTATTATAATACGAAGGGCAAAAAGTGTCGTCGCTCGCGAGCCGATCAACACAATCGGCGCGATGTAAACATTGCGGGCCTTGGCGGCGGTTGAAGCAAGAGAGACTTGCCCTTGGGCGTCTCTTCTTTTCTCGAAGGTTCCGGAACGGCGAGGAGAATGCGAGGAGACCTTTCAACTGTACGCGACATTGATTTACTATTTATCGATTACTGAAAATAAAGAAAATTACTCTGTCGAACCATCGGAAATTTGTTGTTAGCTTTATGTTAATCGAAGAGGAAGGTGTACGATTAGTAAATGTGTTAGCAACTAATTGTACAGAGTGTCAAAATTGTTGTGACGCCGTTTTCGGGGAATAATTAAAGGTCATCGTAGCGTTAAAGAGTGGAATTTCATCCCATGCGAATTTTGTCTCGTTCTTATTAAATGTTAGATTATCCGCTGCGGACAATAACTCTTCTACTTTTCATCTAATATTCAATGATGATAAATAACATTTAATTGCATTCGTTTGGCTTGTTTTATTTCGAAAATAAAAAAGTATATACTAAGATACGATTTCACCCATGACAACATCAACGTGATTTTCTTTGATGCTTTTTTTAAAAGTTCAGATATTTCGTCGACTCGCGGGATATTTATAATCGGAGTCTCGTCGCGTTAATTAACACGTGCTCTTCCGAGCGGATCGAATGCTCACCGACGGCCACTGTCAGTGCCACGAACGAATGTCCGGAGCGGACGGGATGCTGAATTGAGAAGCAGGACAAAGGGAACGAAACGCGGGCAACGATATATCATCCCAGACAGCACAATGTCCAAAACTGGGACATAAGACGTCTTTAAGACGACTTAAAGATGTCTTATTTTCAGACATCTTAAAGACGACTTAAAGATGTCTTGAAGACGTCTTATGTCCCAGTTTTGGACATATGTGCTGTCTGGGATGCGTCTCCAGACGTGTCAAATGTTTATTATACAGGAGACTTTGATACGGCAACATGTATTCGAAGATTTAATATTTAATACGTATTTTTATTTTTCCTGCTCCTCCCCCCCCTGCCCCGCTCTTTTTAGACCTCCGGGTATAGGCTGACATAGAAATGGCAACTGTGGTTACGCACGGACATAAACCACCTGAAAGTGGATGTAGTACGGACTTCCACCACATACAGATTTTACCACCGAGACCTGAAAGGGGATGTAGCATCGTAGTTCCCCTCTCAAAATGGATGCAGATGGCGTCCTTTCCCAATGCAGAAAGTCGGTGTCGCAGAAAATGCCGTGTTGGTCGCTTTGGCCGCTCTCAGGATTCTCTCTACTGCATGTAACATATACTAGTCAGTTTTTTGTTCACCCTCGTGGTGATTGGATGTGGTTCCCGTAATTACGCATATTTTTGATTGTGGGGATTGCATACACATTGTCTCTGTTTTTCTTTTACTTTCGTAATCGTTGACTGGCGTAGAAGATAGAGTGTAACAGCTCTGCTCAGAGCCACTTATTGAACCAGAACCAGTAACATACACTAAACAATTGCAGAATGGCGAGCACAAGCGATGAAATTGGTTTTCTACAAATTCGACTTACCACGAAACAAGAGCAGTTAGTTTTCAACTCGTTTTCTCTTTTCTTTTCCAACGTACATTCTTTGAATCTTTTTTGTTTGCTACAATGAATAATAAACAGAGTTGCTTCCTATACACCAATATCTTGGTATATATAGAAGCTAGTATATATGGAATCCTCCAATATCTATTTCTAGCTAACATGTTGAATTCAATACAGTCATAACCTTAGATTCTTTTAAAATAATTTGGTTTTATCTTCGCTAAATGCAGAGGCTTTGCTCAGGCAATGTGTCAGAAGGCATTGCTTTATGCTTTATTATAAATATTATAGCGTGACATAATACAATTCCAGATACGCTGTGCCAGATTATCCTCTGTCAGTGAAGTCCTCAACAAACAAAGAGGAATTAAATATTCTTGTACATGGACTTTTAAAAGGTAAATGCTTTAATAAGATCTTTGAATTGCTCCCTTTCAGCGCTTGCTTTTCATGATATAATATTAATATGTACAACTAATCAATATTAATATATACAATTTGATAATATTGGTAATGTTTATATTAAAGATATTACAGGTGATTTTACCAATTACCTTGATTTTAATATATTATCAAAGTCACGCCCCTAAATAACATTCAAAGGTTTATCCAGCCATCCTTCATTGTTTACTGAGAAGCTATTAGCAAAAAAAGTTTGAATTCTTATCTAGCTTAACTTAACCGATAGTATAATGTTTTAAAGATAATTTTAAATAAATGATTTATTACAAATTAATTTCTTTGATGTAATATCTGATTTATTTTTAATATCAGTTGAACTGTTATTGAAATCTTTATTATATGATGAGTTTATTATAGACTAATAATGAAAATATTGTAAACATTGGTAAAAATTTATGTTTTTATATACAAGGTTTATGTTAATTTAAATTTAACTTTATGCAGGAGTCTTCACTAATCTTTGTTTTTATTTTTTTGTATATATTAAACTCACCAACTTAGGCAAATATGTTACCAAATATCTTGAAATTACAGTCTATAGCACTGTTCATATTTGTTATATTTCCAATCTTTTATTAATAACTTTTTAACAAATAATGAAGTATAATTAAAATTTTTCAATAATTATTCAAAGTAGTGATCTTAACAATGTCTATCAAGATCAAAGTAATTAGTGAAGTAATTTCTAATATAAATATTTACTATTATATTTTATACAATAAATAAGAACATTGTTAAAAATGTTAATTCATCTTTTACTTCTTTTATTTGAATTAATATTTTTAATTTGCAGAAGCTAACGCTGAGCAGAACAAAGTAAAGTTTGATTTCCTAGTGGCTTCTCAATTACTGCGTACTTCCTTAAAGGAACACCTCAATGAAAGGGAAATTAGTACTGAAGAGGTAATAGAAGTAGAATATGTGGAGAAGTACCCTCCACCTCAGCCCAAAGAGTGTATCATACAAGATGACTGGATATCTGCTGTTGCTGTCCATGGAAAATGGTGTGTTCTGCAACCATAAGTATTAAAAGGATAGAGGATGCTTCTCAAACTTTATTGCATAATTATGCATAATTGAAAAGCTAACTTCCAAGATCTTTCAAATCCACAGTTAAAAGGAAACAGATTTTTATTATAAATTAAATTGGAAATCTTGAGAATATATAAAATTAAGATTGAAAATCATATACCATATTATATTAAAAATTATGTATGAATATTTTATTTATTATAAAAGTATCAATAATTATACAATTTATAAATAAGTCTTTAATTATGACATTGTCATAATTATGACAATGTTTTAAACAATTTTATTCAGGATTTTAACCGGTTCTTATGACAATTCTTTGCACATCTGGACGACAAAGGGTAAACAACTGCTGGAAATTTCTGGACATACGTCTGCCGTCAAAGCAGTGGCATGGGTGTCTGTCATCGACAACAATGCCTTCTTCGTCAGGTAGTTTTAAAAACAGCAATGTCAGTTCTATTGAATGTGTAGCCAGGTGTAGTTAATTAATTTAATGTGTACCTCTCCAGCGCGTCGGAGGATCAGTCTACCATGATATGGAGCTGGAATATCACGAAAAACTCGGCAGAATGCGTGTATATTTGCGAAGGACACGAGAGAGGTATCCTAACGCTTGGTTTGAACCACAGCAAAACGCAATTGGCTACTGGTGGCTGGGACACCATGCTGAAAATATGGTTAACATGTGAGTAGACATATTTAAGACAACATAAGATTCAACAGTTTTTTTCCACAAAACATTTTAAACTCATACTCACATGAAATTCCCTCTTAAGCCACACAGAATGAAACGGAGGACGAGGAGCCCACGTCGAAGAGGATAAAGGCGAAACGGAGTAAAACGAGAGTACGTAAATCAAAGTCTGCAAACTTTTGTAAACACGATTGAGCTTCGTCGATATACATGTGCAAGATAATTAATCAGTACGTTCGAATGCGCTCAATACAGCTTCCGCAGCGCACTTTGGCAGGACACAAAGGTGCGATCAGCGGTCTCGTGTGGTCCGATAAGACGGAGGTCATCACGGCGTCCTGGGACCACACTCTGAAGATCTGGGACTCCGAACTGGGCGGCATCAAGCACGAAATCCCCGGCAATAATGTCTTCTTCGACGTAGACTACTCACCATTGGCACGCGCCGTAATAGCACCGTCGACCGATAACCAGCTGAAGCTGTACGACCCGAGGTCTTCAGGTACTTGACGCTTCTCCGTATCATAAAATAAGAAACGAGATTTATCTGCGTTTTCATTCGAAAACGAAGCTTCGATGCTTATTTCACAATCCTCAAGTATCGAATTCTCTCTTACACTATGTAATGTCCTACAGTTTTTCACCCAAAAATTATAACTACTTTTTAATTTACAGTTTTTTAACTCTCGAATATCCCAGTCTTTGCCGAGCGACTATTTCGGGTCTATTTAAATAATTGTTCTTTCAGAGGGTGCAATCGTTAAAACTGTATTTAAATCTCATACGTCATGGGTGCAATGCGCGCGCTGGTCGACTGTGAACGAACATCTCTTCGTCTCGGGAGGGCACGATGGCTTCGTCAAGCTCTGGGATACCAGAAGGTTCGTTAACTGTTCAATCATCTCTCTAAATCTCTAAATCTCTTTGATTCAGCAGTATAATGTGAACTCCAACTGTCACGATTCACTAGATAATAATTTTCCGGCTTTAACACAGCTTTTAAAATTGCTGTATTTATCATGAGAAGTAGATCAATTAATGTTTAATTATTTTAATGATTAATATGTCTATATAGTACATTTATAAACCGGTACAGACTCTAAAGTTTAACTTGCAACAAAGAAAGCAGGAAGATTACTAACGCCACTTGATAAATGCATGAGATTTAATAACTTTCGTTACAAGATCTATATTATGGTTCTTACTTCCTCGCTGCGGCAATCTTGAACAATGACGTCGGAAACGAGTAAATTCTTATGGAATTCTTTATTCTTAATTCTTATAATCCGTTATGAATTATATATGCGCAAAATGATGCAATTGATTGAACGCATTTCTAAGATGCTCCGAAAACTTTGCTTTTGTCGAAGCAATCGATAAATAGGCGAAAAATCAGTATGACAAAGTCATGAGAAAAAAAAAAGGTTGAAAAGGCATATCGCATTAATTTTATGTTTATTTATTGATTAGAGCCAAAGCGAAATTTTCGGAATATTTTAGAAGTGTATTCAATCCATTGCAACTCTCATTTTATGGCTATATATCTTCTTATCTCGACGTAATCCATAGGAACTTTTAGGGCCGGTTGTTCCAACTTCTTGATAAGTTAACTGATAGTGAAATTACATGTTCATTTTTGTTTTTCCTTCAATTTAAACAAATACAGACATATGATTTAACTATCAGTTAACTTACCAAGGAGTTGGAACAACCTGCCTTTAGTGTAAAATTCGTTTATGATGTCATCAATCAAGAATCCGCGGCGAGAAATCATTAAGAAAGTCTTGACAGAAGCAACTAATGTTTCACTCCCTTGCAGTCCCAAGGCTCCGCTTTACGACCTCACAGGACACGAGGATAAAGTTCTCTGCTGCGACTGGTCGGAATCCAATCTAATAGTGTCCGGCGGCGCGGATAACGCATTGGCGTCTTGGATGTTCAAGCAGACGGAAGATCGCAAATCTCGCGATGCGCCATCGTTATGCAATGCAAAGACGCAAGAACTCGCGTAGAATTCGTATTGCATCCGCGAAAGTAATGTTATCTACAATTATTAGATAAGATATTTGACATTTACTTGTTTAATAAAATATTTTGTAATAAGGAATTTCCTGTGTTCCACACAAGAATTTCAGTAGTGTATTTCGAAAGGAAAAAAAGCTAATTTATTTTTCTAGATCTTGGACTAGGATGATTTCAATGCGTTTGTAGATTTTATGTCGTTTTCAAATTCTAACTCTCCGCAACACAGAGCACTGAAGAGGCACATTATTACCCTCAAAATACAAAGTAGAGGTCTTCACTTGGAAAAAATTGAGAAAGTCATTTAGAAATCCGTGCGTACCTCCGGCGAGGAATAGTGTAAGAGGACGGAACCTCTCATCCTTTGTCTCTCTCCTCCTTCCATTGTCGTCCAGGGAGACCAGAGCCGGATGGGTGAAAAGTAAGTCGTGTCGCTCGCATAAATCCCCAAAACAGATCGTTTATTGATCAAAAATAAGGGACGATAATCGTGAATCCGGGGATTCGCGCTTCCCCGCTTCACCCGAAGTGTATCTTTACCAAACCACTTGTTTTTTTACTCGTAAGTAACTCTAAAAAGACCACCGCAAGTCGCACCGAGTCGAGTGCACGCACCTATTAGAGACGACACACAGGGTGTATGCGGTAGTACAGGAGTGGCGAAGAGCGTGCACCCTCGCAATAGCGGGCGCGCGCGCGGTCTCTTTCTAACCGTGTCCGTGTGCAGGTGTGTGTGTGTGTGTATTAATTGCAGCTATGTACTATGTGTGTATGTGTACTGTGTGTGTGTGTGTGTGTGTGTGTGTAAAATAAGCGGGTAATTCCTCGAGTACGCATCGCCGTTATCGTCGCGGCTTCCTTTCAGAGTTTACGCACACATCTACGTATACACACGCGCGACACACACGTACACACGCACGTAAAAACGCGCGCGCACGCACACTCTTTTTTTTCATCTCGCACGCACGCACACTCTCGTCGGTCTTTTCGCCCTCCTCGCATAATCATCATCATCATTATCATCATCGACGTCGTCGTCGTCATTATCATCATTATCATCATCATCAGCATTATCATCTCACCGCGCGCGGTATTCTTCGTGTTATTTTTTTTGTTCTTTTTCCTCTTTTTCTTCTTTTTTTTTTCGGTTTCTTTATTTCTTTGTTCGTTTGTTCTCCGAGGACCCTATCTAAAAATCCGGCACATTATTCGCGTCGTTATCATCACCATCCTCGTTATCATCATCATCATCATCATCGTTTTCTTCCGCACCGTCATCGCCATCACCGTCATCATCATCATCATCATCATCATCATTTCACACAAAGACTAGCGTTTTTAAACGATCCAAAATAAACTAAGGGCACTTTTTAGTTAGCGGCTTATGCCCCGTAGTCGCGCGCGTTTTTTATGCGTTCCTTTTTACCCTCTCTCGAGTTGTTCATCTTTATCTTTTTTTTTTTTTCGTTTTTTTCTCCTCTTATTTATTCATGAAAAATCTAATTCTGACTGTGTTTTTTTTTCTTGTTAAACTTTGTTTTATTACAGCACCTATTCGACTTCCTAAGAGTCTCCCTAGATTTCTTAACTAACTATGACACACTTGCCTTAACGTCTAAGGATTTTTTTTTTTTCATCGTTACATGCTAAAACGCCTTCTCCTCTCCGCCTGTTTGCCCATCTGCCTTAAAAGTACTCCGAAATTCTACGAAAATTAACTGCGCGGATTTTAAAGAGGGGGGAGGGGGCGGGTTAGCGGACAATCAGCGTCCGCGACGACATCGTTTCCCCGTTTCTTCTTCGACGCGCTGTTCTCTCTCCCCTGCCCTTCGGAAAGACTACGCACAGCGTGGATACACGGGGGATACGTGTCTCATTTTTTCTCATTCTCTCTCTCTCTCTCTCTCACTCTCTCTCTCTCTCTCTCTCTCTCTCTCTCTCTCTCTCTCTCTCGTTCCATCATAAAGTTACAGGAGTTCCGCTTCGTATCGACACGCAGGACGAGCGGAATACAAATGCAAAAAAGAAAATGGAGAAGAGGATGGAGCGGAGACCTGTCCGGAGGAGGAGGAGGAGGAGGAGGAGGGGCGCGAGAGAGGAGGGAGAAGGAAGTAATGAAGGAAGAAATCAACGTGTCGTCGAGTAGTTTACAGCTAAACATCGTCGCTTAACAAACGTTGTGTAAAACAATGACTTATAAACTTGGCGAAACTAAGGACTGTACAAGTCGAAGTACAAGACGACCCTCGAGGGAGTATCCTCGGACCGTCTCGCATCTTATCGTTATCTTTCTCTCTCTTTCTCTCTCTCTCTCTCTCTCTCTCTTTCTCGCATGCATGCACACGCACAAACACACACGCGCACACACATACACATTTTTTTTCTATCTCTCAAACTCGCTCTTTTCCCCTTAAGCCGATCTCGACTAACATTATTTACTTAAAAACACCCTATAATTTTTTTCACACGATCGCCCTCTCTCTCTCTCTCTCTCTCGTTCGTTTTCTCCTTCCTCCCTTTCTACAATCATCGACGTCAGCCTATGAACTATAGTACGTCTAATCTAAAGAGTGCCTAACGCTAGAGCTCTAAAGAAAGCTTATGGAAAGCAGCATTGCCCAGCAGCGGGAACCGTTCGTTCTCGCCCGGAACGGTTCGACCGTCGTTGTCGCCGGTGACACACCAGGCCACGGAAACTCGCGTGAGCTTCGCGACGAGAACTCCCCGTTCCCCGTGGATGCACCCAAGGAGAGAGACGGTGCGGGACACGCGCAATTATCACGTCGCGCGACTCATCGCATTGTCGATGACAGTCTCACGGGAGAGGGAGAGGGGAGGGGGGAGCGGCCGCCCACACACTCGCGGCCAATGTGACTCTCGTGTCTTCCGAAAAGAGGAAGAAAGGAAGAACGCGACACGACTCTCTCTGGATCAAGCAACTTCGCGATCATGCCGCGACGACCGCGATTGTGCCGGCTCAAAGTGCAAGGAGGATTATCACACGGATAATCCAAGCGTGATAAATCTAAAGCGCAAATCGCCTCCTGATCTCCGCCGAACGGAGGGGTCGCCTTCATCCACCGAGAAACTCGGAAAGATTTTGCTTTCTCTCTCTCTCTCTCTCTCTCTCTCTCTCTCTCTCTCCCTCCCTCCCTCCCTCCCTCTCTCTCCCCCCGGGACGATATCGGATACCGATCTCGACTGGGGAGAAGCCTCGCCGCGGTCAGCTTTCACCCTACGAGCTTCCGCCACCCCCGCGACCCGTCGACGATTCATTTACTCCATTACGATCGTATAGAAACCCACACCCGGCCAGCCCACGCACCCGACCCGCGGTGCGCAGCAAGCAAATAGTTTCCTTACTATTTATATTATACAAGTAGCTCATATATATATACATACATATATATATATATACACATACATACATATATATATATGCTGTAGAATAATATATATATATATTTATCAATTAATATGAATAGCCAGTCAGTCTTGACGGGTGCGAGGTGCATAGGCTGAACGGTGCCCCCACTGCCCGTGCCCCCCGTGTGCCCGCGACGCAGAAGAGAGAGGGTGGATGGGTAATAGGGGGACACGGGGGAGATGAGAGGCATATATTATCATTCGTGTATCCTAACTACTAGAGTACTAAACTATTTACGAAGTCTACCTAAAACTTAGCCGCTCTCTTAACCGATAAAAGATCTCGTCTTATCCTTTATCTTTTCCTTTTTATCTCCTAATTCGAGCTAGCGTTCGCTCCGCTCTCTAGCTCGCTCTTTCGTACTTAGCCTAGAGTTTTTTATCATCTTTCTCGTAGTTCAACGCTACCTACGGCGAAAACGCTTGTTTGTCGCGCGAATAAATGAAAAAACCATGTGTCGTCGCGTCTCCGCGCGAATCTGTACACAATAACTATTAACCCTCGATCGCTCTCGCTTTCTCTCGTTCTCTCCCTCACATACTCTCTCTCTCTCTCTCTCTCTCTCTCTTACTTTCCGGCCGCCTTTCCTCTTCCGGCTTCTTTCTTTACCACGGAAACATGCCTCTCTCATTCTTTCTTTATTCGGGGATGCTCTGGGACGTACGACGGGGCAAGTCGTACCCCTTCTTCATCTTCCTCATCCTCCTGAACCGATCGGCGCGACTATTAATGCTGCTCTGTTTCTTTCCCTCGTCCTTCCTTTTTTTTCTTTGTTTGGTCGTCACGATAATTTACTTTAGTTATTTAGTGTGTACAAGTCTATTTAGTAAAATTCTCAAAATTCACTATTAAATCACATGTGGATTTTTGTTGTCAGTCATGGTGACAATCTCGCTTGTGCAACAAATACACAATACACTCGCTAAATAGGTGCGCTCTCTCTCTCTCTCTCTCTCTCTCTCTCTCTCTTTCTCTCTCTCTCGCTTTCTTCTCAGCTTCCCGTCTCTCATTCATCATCACACTCTCTCCCTCTCTTTCGCACACATTCTCACCCTCTATCTCTCTCATTCATTCTCTCTTTCTCACTTTCTCTCTACGTTCTACTTTTTTTTTTTACTTTTACTTTTCACTCTTAATTGCGTGGATTCAAATCGAGTAATAATCGGTCTCTTAAAAAATAGCTCGTGCCGCCTCTTTACTCTTCCTCGCCTTCATCTCTTTTCTTTATTTTCTTTATCAGCTTATCTTTCTCATTCTCACTTTCATCTACTCTTTCTTTCTCTCACTTACGCACACACACACGCACACACACATACATATTCTCTTGCTCTTTCTCTCTCTCTCTCTCTCTCTCTTGCTCATTTGCTCGCTCTCTTTCTATCTTTCTTTCGTCATCAAATCGTGATGTACCAAAATAAACTAAATATATTATTTACTTCAAGTCTCAACAGTGTAAAAATCTTTCATACGTTTAGATGACGTCAATATAATAGTAAATCGTTAATTATAATAATACAGTATCGTCCATTATTGTAATATTATAATAATAACTACGATTCGTGTCATTCTTCTTTCTCTTTCGCTTTCTCGCTTTCTTTCTCGTTTCTAAAACTCTATCTAACTACCTGCTCGCCGTCACTTCTTCATCTTCGTTTCGAGAACCTATGACTCGCATATTTGGTAGAAAGCTTTCCTCGCTACATTCTCACCCTTTCTTTCTTTTTCTCGCATTCTTTCTTTTGCCACACACACACACTCACGCACACACACACACATTCACGCACACACACACACACACACACACACACACACACACACACACACACACACATACATTCACTCACTCACACGCACGCACGCGTATTCATTCTCTTTTCCTTGCATTCTTCTTTCGCTTCTAAATTCTCTCTCTCTCTCTCTCTCTCTCTCTCTTTCTCTCAATCCTCAAATCAGTCAACGTGACACTCCGCGGGATGCATGAACGGGTAGGTGGGTGGATATGGAAAGGAGGCTTTCGAGAAAGGAGGTAGGAGATGGATATATTTCATTGAAGATGCAGATGTTAGATTAAGAGTAATTAAGACCCACGTGGCAACACGATGAGACCTTGTACTCGTCCGAAGTAGAATTGATGAGACAAAAACAAAATGAAACTTCACTTTCCTATTTCCTATTTCTAACAATACAAAATTATATTTTTCTTACTACCAAGTCAGCCAAAATTATAAATTACCGTTTGCAACTGTACAGAGCTAACAATTGCACAGATATAAGGTTCGTGTCACAATTGTCACAACTTCTTGCGATTAATAACCAATTGATCAACCACTGATCTCAACACTGAAATTGTCGTTCCATTTCTCAGAAGGTCCCAATTACTCCCTTTGGCCTGCGTATGTGAGTGTACGTATGTGTGTGTATGTGTTTTCTACGGGTGTAAGTCGATGCACCTTTACCTTCGCCTCTCTGTTCCTTCCCCAACAGTCTCGGTTTTTTAATCTTCGCTCGCTCAGCAAGGCGTAACTCGTTCGCTCGATAAAATAAATTAATTTACGCTCTAGCTATTGCGTCGTAACAAGTCTACCTTTTCTCATTTCCTCTATTACTTGTTCCCTCCCTTTATTTAATCGTCTGCTTCTCATACACACTCTCACGTATTCTCACTCGTTCCGTTTCGCGCTATTTCGTGCGCTCTTTCTCTCTTTCTCGGGCGGTGCTCCTCAATTACACTACAGATTTGCCGCCGTTTGATTTGTCTTAAACTTCTCCGCTTTGTTTAATAGATATTATTCTTATTATTATTACAGACTGGTGTGAGTGTGTCTTAATCTTTCTTTCTTTCTCTCTCTCTCTCTCTCTCTCTCTCTCTCTCTCTCTCTCTCTCTCTCTCTCTCTCTCTCTCTCTCTCTCTCTCTCTCTCTCTCTCTCTATCTCTCTCTCTCTCTCTCTCTCTCTCTCTCTCTCTCTCTTGTTCGCAGTCCGTCAATCCCGTTTAATGGCAACTATATATACGTACAAAATCTATCAAATTGTCAATCAAAACGAACTTAGTGATTATTCAACTGGCTACAACGCAAAAACAATTTTAGCTTCTTTAACTAGAAGTTCCAAATTTGGCTGAGTTTACGCACTTACATTTTACCAACACGTAAAAATATATTAGTGTTTCTCGTTTTTCTTCCTCCCTCCCCCTTTTTTAAACATCTCTTTCGCTTTCATTTTCTCTCTCACTCATTCTCTCTCGCTCTGTTTCTCCCTCCCTCCCTCTCTCTCACTTTTTTCCTTTCGTCTAGCGGATCTGTTTGAAAAGGCACGATTCTAAAAAAAAAGATATATGTATCCACTGTACAATTAAAAATTAAATATCGATCCGTAGTTGATTGGTAATTAATTCTTGCAAATATAACATTCTAAAAAGTATTACAGTTCTCTTCGTATCTCGTGCAATAAACACTTATCACCGAAACGAATGAATTTCATCCATTTTCAGAAACAAAGCACGACTTACTTAATCACGCTTTCCGCCTCGCCGCGAAACATCCTCGCGATATAATAAAAAAATGTTTACCCTTAAAACGACAAATGAAAGAAAATGAAAAGAGAATACACCTGAGCATCATAACTGATCTTGATTTGCTCACGTTATTTTTACTCGTAAAAAAGCATTCAGATTAAAAAAAGATCCTCACGCGATGTCGCGCATGTGTAACCAGCTTGGAATGTCTGAGCATTTAAAAGAAAAAGAAGAAAGAACATAAAGATGAAAAGAAGACACGTGAACTCCGATGACAGTGTGGTGTATTTGCATGCATGTATGCATATACGTACATACATACATACATGCGTGTGTGTGTATATATATATATATATATATTATTTTATATATATATATATATTATTTTATATATATATATATATATAAATTTATGTATATGTAAACGTGTGTCTGTGTGTGTGTATGGTGTATGAATATATGCATGTACGTATGTGAGCGAATGGAGCAAAGTGCTTTGTCGCGAGGAAGACGTTTCGAGCACACGGAAGAACTCGATATCAAAATTTCATTGAAAAAGTTTCAATTTTTTAACATCTTCCGAGCGTATGAGCACTTCTGTTTGGCATTTAAACTAACAGCGTTGAGGAAAATACTTTACGCGAAGAACACATAATGCAAATTTGCTCATTCAAATTCAGTTTTCCTTCGCCTTTAAACTTCGCTCATATTTCTAGTAAATTGTCAATTATAGTGTGTGGAAATAGTGCATCTTTTTCTTCTCACTCTCTTTTCTTTCTTCTTCATTCTCTCTATTGCTCTCGCGCCCGTTCTCTCGCTCTTCGTATATTATTCTTACCATTTAATTTTATTTTATTCGGGAAGAATTTTCCTTTACACATAATTCTGAGCAGCATTATTTCTTTTTCTTTTTCCTGATTTTCGGTATAGATTACATGCTCTTTAAAATACTTATTGATACTTGCGAGCGCTCTCTCTCTCTTTCTCTCTCTCTCTCTCTCTCTCTCTCTCTCTCTCTCTCTCTCTCTCTCTCTCTCTCTCTCTCTCGCTTTCGTTTAGTTTTGTCTTACAATCTGCTTAATAAATGTAAAGTTACCTAAAGTTATCATGGAAGCCTATCAGCTTGACACTAAACTGTCCCTCATTATATAGCTCGGTTTTGTCATTGTATGCGTCTGTCTATGTATTTGTGTGTACAGGAGTGTTCGTGTCGGCGTTTACAACTTTAACGGAGCCGCATCGGTGTCATACACGTGCGTCCGCGGACGACACACGTGGTTGCTCTCGTGCTCTTTTCCCTTTATTTCTTTCATTTTCGTTTCTCTCATTCGCACGCTTTCACTCTCGCGCTCACACCCTCTCGCAACATTCACACTCTCTACTACTCGTTGCAAAATATCAACTACTTTCACCTATTTATCTGATGGATAAAACGTATAAAAGATGGCTGGCAAGTCAATTTATCGTGAGGAAGAATCTTATCTGACTTTTTTTTACGTAATATTATATTTTACTCTTCATCTCTTCTTCGTTAATATAACTCCCTCCACTCTTCTTTCTCGCTTTCTCTCTCTCTCTCTCTCTCTCTCTCTCTCTCTCTCTCTCTCTTTCCTTTTCGTTTTTCTATCCTATCTCGCTCTTTTATACTCTTCTACAATTTAGCTTTCGTTACTTGTGTTTGTAACAGGTTTTCTTCTTTCCTAATTTACGCTGACTCTCCGCGCGAACGTACGTCTGCAATCAAAAGATCGCCTTTTGTTTAGCTTTAATCATCATTTTATTGCGAACAAAGGAATCATTTCGGGGCGATATCGCATGTCCAGAGGAGGGGGGAATTCTGACCTATAAACCGTGGCCTACTTAGGCTGCTGAGCCTGGTACTGCTGGTAAGAGTCATCTGGAGACGCCGCGTTACTCGTCTGCTCCGAATCACCCAGCGGCATGGTGTGTATGATGCTCGGAGCAGGGTAAGTAGTGTAGGGATACGGATGTGGGCTCGCGATGTACTGAGAAAGAAACAAGAAACGCGATTAGATTTCGCCTGGTAATATGGCTCGGATCCAAGCTTATCCAAGCGACTTGATTATCCGAAAGACGTCGACGATGTCTAAAGAATATTTAAAGTATAAGCAATATATCCTGAATTCTCCTTTTAATAAAAGCACCTTTCAGGCAGTGCAAATGGTCGTGACACATATCTCAAAGATACAATAGTCAACATTTCTCGTAAATATAATTTATAAATATAATACTAAATTGTATAATTACAAGACATTTTTTCCTCATGGCCACACATATATACATATAATGCTTAATGTATGTTTTCACACATTCTCAATCGATTCTATTGTAAATACCACGAAAATATCAAAGATTTGAAACACGAAGCTGTATCTGTAAGATACTGCGCCTTCGATCGGAAGTCTCAAAGTACCCAAAAAATATTTTCAAGATGTCGTTCGGACTTTTGCGTCGCATTTGCTAAGGAACAAAGAGCTGATACTTACGGAACCAGTGCCAAGATGCAAGGTAGACATTTGCGTAGTAAGCTGAGGAATCATACTGTACTGCGGATTGCTAGGATCGGCTGACGGTATCATCTGTAACAGAGAGATGAATTCGATCAGCAAAAGCTTCGCAAGGCACAGCGACGATGAGTGCGAATAATCGCCTCGAAAGATGGGGTTCAATAGATAGTTTAGATAAGAGACTTATAACACAGTTAAAAACAGAGAAACAAACGATCTTTTTTTGACCAAGAGGAATCCGCGCAATCCGAGCACGAAAATAATACATTTTGTCGCTCACGTGCAAAGCAACGAGAACGAAATGAACGAAAAGTGTACAAAAACTCACGTCGACCTGTTGCATATGTGGTGGGGCGGTCTGCACGAGGTAAGGTGCCACCCAAGGGGTACCAGGCACGCTGTAACCGGGCAATGCTTGACTATAGTGACGACTATACTGTGTTAGAGTCGCTGCAGGAAGCATGTGGGTTGCGGCGACGCCGTTCTGACCGACTCCGCTCGTGTCGTAGTTCAGAGTCATGTTCTGGAAGAGACAGAATAAGTTATACTTAGGACAATCTCGATCGTATAAGACGGAATTATCAATTTTCGCTTTGATTTATGATTGGATTAGAGGACATTTTAGAACTGAAGCAAAAAAAAATTCCAAGGTCTCTACAAGTACTTGGAAACTAAAGAAGAGAACATTGATTCCTTCTTTAAGATGTATGAGGCAACTTTCTGACGTGAAAAATATACAATATATGCGATCTTGTGAGGAATGAGATAGAGATACATACCTCTCCAGTTTCTCTCCATATTGTACTTTTGAATAATGATTTCTTCTTATTACCACCATCGGCGAATTTAACTAGTAACGGGTCCTTCGCCCCTGCTAGTGCCTTGCCGTTAAACATCTGAATTATTTGTTCACATTTCTCCTTAGACTCCATCCTGTGAACAATGCAGGCAAGCTGAGTTAATTGTAGTTCTATTTGAGGTTCCAAATCCATAATTTTCTAGAGATAAAAATGAAAGATAAAGATACAATCGTGAAGTACACACACCTTGCGAAACCGACACCTTTGCTCTGTCCAGAGGTGTCGCGCAGGATGCGAGTCGAGATGACCTGTCCGTATTGGGCGAGCAGTGTTTCCACATCGTTTTCTTTGAAATTAAGCGGCAGGTTGGCGATATAGAGATTGGTTGGATCCTGCTCCTGTTGCTGAGAAGAGAGCAAAGATATTTTGCAACTAGATTGTATAGTAAAACGGACACGATAAATATTTATATATATGTATATATGTATATATCGATTTTTCCAGACAGATACGAGTATAGTTTATCATTTTAACTTCCCTGACTGTCGTTATCTCTGTTCTGTGTGTTATCGTCGAAAACACACAAATGAATGCACAGACGAGACACGGCGAATGAATTTGGAATAGCGATTTTGCAACAGTTACAACACACATCGCTCGCTGTTGAAATGCGTCATCGATAAAGAATAGATATGAGAGATTCGAGAATATGCAAGACTCCACTAAGCTATATTCACATGCTCGACAATAACGTATACAGATTTTCGCGAAAATGCTTGGGCAAACTTTGCAGATATTCTTCTTAGTCGCTTTGCACGCAATTGAGGAAAAAGGTAAAGCCCGATGAAGAATTTCGTGGAGAGAATATCGCCTCAAAACACGGGAGCTGTCCTTTAATTTAATGAATGGAGTGGACGAAGAGATACACCTGCATGACACACTCGTCCAAGTATCGTCGCTGAAATTCTGTATAACTTTCACTATTTATTCACTATTATTCATACATACATAATCATTATGTCAGAGGCATGTTATAAAAAACTGAGATAAAAACCACGAGTGAATAATTAGGAGAGTCTGGCAGAATGAAGTGATCGCGTGATCTCATCGCTTAGTCTGGAATGTTAAAATGATATTTCTCAGTTTACCGAGCAACGTCGAGATAATACACGAAAAGACGAAAGTTTCAGATGTTCCCAAGGCGATAAACGATGCTTCTAATTCTCGCGTAGTCTCACGTATCTAAGGAAAGAAGTAAATTTCTGCGGTACAAGTGAAACGAATGAACGAGAGAAGTACATGTACTCTCGGTCGAAACACAAATGTAATAATAATTTCTACGTAACAGTGACACTACGAAGAGATTCGTTAAACTAGATTGGGTATCATCCGTCGAGAACTAATTCCCAAGAGAGTGCAAAACGAAATGAGAACGAGTCAATCAAGGATCGATCGGAACCGTGACAGTAATATTAATCTCAACGTCGGAAGAGAAAAGAAAGTTGTCATGCTTCATGGCAAATTATGTTTACCACATTCCGGTGGCTCTCTAAATTTGCTTATCGGATGCATTCGATAGAAATATCTTTCCTAGTTTTTCTTTTTTCTTTTCTCGATCTTTTCTCGATCAAACGCTACTATCTATGGAAACGATTCTCCCGATAAAAAAAAAAAAAAAAGAGGAGTTCCTTTTACATTTCTTTTTTTTCTCTCGTGTTTTCCTTTGCTCTTCTTTTTCTTTCCAAGCGCATCCCGCATCATCCGCGCGCGGAGCATGCTCACACGGATGTACTCTATACACACACATACACATCGTACGATATATCGTTAAACAGTCCTCGCGCAAAAGATTCACAGAGCTCTATCGGAAGGCTTGATCGGTTTCTCTTTTCTACAGGTAAGCCCTAAGAGATAGATACGACAGAGGTAGAGGTGAGTGAGAGTGTATAGATGAAGAAATCAGACGTAAAAAGAAAGACAGTTGAAATAAATGTGTATAAAAATGAAAATTGCAACACTACGTCAATAATTCCAGGTAATAATCTAGTAAGACAGAGGGCTATGGTATACGTCTCTCAGTCAAGGTTCCATTCGTAGACTAAGTATCTTGCGATAGACGCGAGATAGTGACAGTGGATACGTCGCCTGTGCATACATTTCACATCGCGTTTTTCAACGCGACGAGACTGGACAAACTTTCTCAAGACAGCCTCGAGTCAGCCGCGCGGAATATCATATGCTCTCGTCCCGAATTACCGGACGGTAGTTGATAACATCGTGACGATACTCACGATACATTCTGTGTGCACAGAATATTTGTAAAACACATGGCCACATGCGGCCTACGGTGTGAGTATGTGTGTCGGAAAGTTAGAGAGGATACAAAGAAGTTTTACGACGGCGATATGTCAGCGCGACGCGCTTATCTCTCATTACCTGTTTCCCCGATAATCTTTCGTAATAACACACTTTCCTAGGAGAATGGAAAACACACGTATTACATATTGATGTAATTTTTCTCAAAACGCAACAATGACAATCACGTAAGAGGAATCGTCGACACAATAAACGTATCTTTCACCGCCGAAGCCAGATTGGTGATTAATTTAACGTTTACTACTACTCGCTCTCGAATGTAAGCTCTTTAGCGTTAACTTTGACGACTTCGCTCAAAATAAGGATTCACGAGTCGCCACGCCAACTGTTTGCGCTGCGGAATCTTGGACAAACGATAAAGAGCGATTTTATAACGCGTGAGTTTCAAGTCGCCGCTACTCACGACTAAACACGAAACTACTTATTCAGAATTGAACCAGTATGTTTAACTCCACTTGTTGAACGAGGCATTTGCGTGGGATTTGCGTGAAAACTTCCTGCACCTTTTCTAATCTCTCGATACACTGATCCCGTAGCCGTGTTTGGCCGCGTATCGTACCAACGCTCTGTACAATCTCCATCTATTTACGTTTTTAACATTATGTAAACGTCGATATGTCTCCGTCGTCTTTATAGATAACCATTCAAAGCGGTAATGAAGAATAAATCCAAGTAACATTTGACATTTTATTGGAGAGAAAGAGAGAGAAAAGAGAGCAAGAGCGAGAGAGAGAGAGAGAGAGAGAGAGAGAGAAATAGAGAAAGAGAGAGAGAAAGAAAGAAAGAGAGAGAGAGAGAGAGAGAGAGAGAGAGAGAGAGAGAGAGAGAGAGAGAGAGAGAGGAGAGAGAGAGAGAGAGAGAGAAAGGGGAAAAGAAAGAGGAAGACAGAAAAGCGTGGTAAAGAAGCACAGACATCTCCACGTATATATATATACATATATGTATATACAATTACATCGTATATGAGTAAATAAACGAAGAGACAGAGGGGGAGAGGGAGAGAGAGGGAGAGAGAGGGTGAGAGAGAGGGAGAGAGAGAGAGAGAGAGAGAGAGAGAGGGAGAGAGGGAGAGAGAGAGAGAGAGAGAGAGAGAGAGAGAGAGAGAGAGAGAGAGAGAGAGAGAGAGAGAGAGAGAGAGAGAGAGAGAGAGAGAGAGAGAGAGGAAGTGATAGAAAGAGAAAGGAGCGACTTGATGAATATAGATCGCACAAAACACATAATATATGTTGAGTATATGAATATGGAGTACATATACATGTGTTCATGCTCCGGCTTCTCGCTTACGGTTAAGCGAGAAAAAGAGGAACTAAACGAGGGGTAAGATAAGAAAAAAAATATACGTATAAAAAAAAAGTGATGGGAAGAGAAAGAGAGATACGCTGAACAGAAGTTTCGAAGATCGATTGACATTATGCACCCTCAAGCATATTTCGAGATCCACCGCTTCCGTCAAGAATCAATGAAAAAAGATCTACGATTACTTGAATATACTTATACTTTACGACAATTTACTTCAATCTTGCGAATGCATTAAAAGAAAAAGAAACGAATAATGAAAATATCATGATATAAGCCAAGCTGATGGCATTTAAATATTTATATATATATATATGTATATATATGTATGTATATACATATATATATAATATATATGTATACATATATATACGCATGTGTACGTATATGCGTGATATGCATGTTTCATGTACACGCGGTTACACGTGCGCATATGTATGCGAGCTGCCTCAGAATGAACTGCCTTTCAATAAGATGAATCATATCAAACGAAGGCACAAATTTCGCCATTAAATTGAGTGTTGATCCCGCTGTTCATTCTGTGACATCCTGTATATATGTACGATCGAATATTACATCTTAATGTATTCTTATCACGATAAGATAATTCACAGATTCATCAAGTATGGTCTGTGCGCCGGGGATCTCGCGTGTAAGATTCGAGAAAGATTCTCTCTCGAATATTCCTTAATCTATCTAATCTCTACATAATTCTGAAAGCTATAATGTTACATATATACATCTATTTCGTATATCTTGAGGCAATTATAGAATATTTCTACTTCATCTTAAAGACATTAATCCACCGAAATTCCTAACACAAGAATGCGAGGATCGTGACAGCATTCAAGCAATTGTGAAAAGTTGAGCATCGCTGACAATTTTGCGCGCTCAAGCCCGCATTTATACTATGTACAACACATGTATAGGTACAAATCGTTCACTCGTTACCGAGTCTTACTAATCAGTCGAGCGAGCGAATTCGAATCTCACGACGAGAGCTCCCGACTGCGCGCAGTGTGAATCTGTAGGTGTGCTGGTTAAACTGTAATTATATATAAGCCAAGTGTATGTCAATCAGACCAACCAACCAACACCCTGAGGAGCTAAGGCAGCGCCTGATCTGATCTCGCATAGCATCGCTGCTGAATAATAGCGAGTAATAACCGCGTACCTCTGGGCACGAGTTAATGAAGGGTACGGGTGTCGTAGTTTAGTTTTGTATCATGTCACATGCGATCGACATAATAATAATAATAATAATAATCATCATCATCATCACCATCATCATCATCATCATCATCATCATCATCATCATAATTGTCATAATCATCGTCATTATCATCATCAGTATCATATCATCAGCATTATCACAGCTGCTGAATAGCACCCCGTGCTTCTCACCGCGGCCACAATTAGCGGAACCATTCCGTTAGTTAGTCGTTTGGAGCAAATGATACGAAAAAGGCGGGAGCCGATACTCTCTTCTCGTTTTCGGCACAATGTGCGTGTGTGTGTGTGTGTATGTGTATATGTGTGTCACGTGTACGAGTGTCCGCTCTTTTTCTACCGTTCGTTCGATCGTTGCTTCGAAAAGGAACTCGACTAAATGCGGAGACACCGAGAAAACGGAGAGGGTGACTAAACCGACCATCGAGCGGAGTCGAATAAAATTCAACTGAAGACTAACTCTTATCGCGGTTCTTTCCACTACGATTGACCGTGATAAATCAATGGAATATGCGATAAAAATTTCGAATTTGGTGGCACGAGTCGAGGTATGCTCTGTCTCTTTGTATCACTGACGTTATTGATTGATGTTATTTATTTGGACAATATGACTGAACATATTTATATTTGCACAATGATATACCGATGTTACTGTAATAAGGCCGTTACGTCGCTCTCATGTTGCTATACTTCAAATGTGATACTTTCGTTTATTTCGTCTTTATCTTTTTATCGCGCTTTCTTCCTTTCTTTCTTTCTTTCTTTCTTTCTTTTTTCTTTTTTAACGAGTTGATGAGTATAAGGTGGAGTAAAGCTCTAAGAGTTTCGTAGAGGATGACTTGTTATTAAGACTCTAGGGAAAGAGGAAGTATGGAAGGGAAGCAGCTTGAAATTAGTGCTGAAACGAATGCAATTCTCGGACATGAGACATGACGATCGTAAACGTGTCGACATAGCATAGTATCGGCTATAATCTGTGGCCGAGATACAGCAGCAAGCATCGAGATAGGTCTGATAGGGAGGTACGTAAGATAGAATGACAAACAAAGTGTCGGGAAAAATATCTAGACAAATGAAAGAGAAAGAAAAAGAGATAGAAAAAGGAAACAGAAAGAGAGAGAGAGAAGGGGGAGAGAGGGGGGGGGAGAGAGAGAGAGAGAGAGAGAGAGAGAGAGAGAGAGAGAGAAAGAGAGAGAGTCAGATAGAAAGAGCGAAAAAAATGCAAATTCTTCCCACGAAAGGTAATATAATTTGTAATATAATTTGTAAAAAGTAATATAATTTGATATATAAAAATATATCTGATATAATAAATATGTGAGCGCAATTATTCGATATGTACTGCAAATGCACTATGTAAAATAAACTGACAGTAGCTATGTCACATTTACCGAAACATGATCCTTTCTCAAAGAATGTATTACATTGTTTTAAACATGTTTTCTTGTAACGAGTGAAGATGTCGCCTGCTCGGATACTCCTGTATGTAATTCCATAGAATTATTGTAGTATTTCCATGTCGAGAGTACACGTGTGTCTTACATTTACACTCAGAAAAGGCGCGAAGAAATCTAACACGATCTAACTCGATAGAGATCTCGACGATAAAGGTGAGAATAGAGAGAAAAAAATTATTTGAAAATAAAAGAGGATAAAAATAATATAGGCAAGGCAGAAAAAAAGAGAGAGAAAGAAGAGAGAGATGTGAGAGACAGAGAGAAGAGAGACAGAAAGAAGAGAGAAGAGAGAGAAAGAGAGGTTTACTGTTACTCTGGTATTACTGTACTTGCATGCACAACCAACGTACACTGTCCAGTCTACGGAGCAACCAGATACCCACTTTCGCCATCTGAGCCTGGATCCCTTTGGCGACCAGTGCTTTCACAGCACCCTCTGCCGCCAGTGGTGACTCAAAGTCTACGAAGCCATAACCTGCAACACAATTGTACGCCACTGGTGAGTAGAAGAGAGTAGTTCCCTTCGAAACCTTTTACAATATCTTTTTGCAATTATTTCAAATCTTTCTCTAATTTTTCAGAGAAAATATAATCCCATTACACGCAAAAACACCTTTAGTTTTGATATAGAAAATTACAACGATAATATCAGGCAAATGTATCGTTAATATCAACAAAACTATAAGCATTTACGTAATACTAACTGAAAAGTCTAATATAAGGAAAATATAAAGCGACAGGATGCAGTGAATTTAACTCGACATTTACGGATTTAAAATAAATTTATAAATAGGAAAACGCGCGAGATCATGAAGAATGAAATATACTAGAGAGTACAAATATAAAAGATAAAGTATTTCAAGTATAAGTACCTTTACATTTATTTGTATTCTTGTCAAGTATCGCCTTCGTTGATGTTATAGTTCCGTATCTGTAAAAACATCGGGTTAAAAGTGTAACTTAATTATATTAATTTAGTAAGTGCATACCGCGTATTCATATATTAGTTCAATTACACACAAGAGAGTACGAGCAGATAAGCGTCAATTATTGGAATTATCGAATTTTGTATGCTTATTGACCATAATACATAATAATATATTATCGTGTATAATAATGTCTATTATATACAATCATTATCGATAACTAATCTTTCCTCTGACAAGTAAAAGATTACAGAGATCTAAATCTCTGACTTGTGAGTGAAATTCTCTGAGATTACTCTGGGAGTTACGAGTAATCAGAGAAGCGATTTAACGCTACTTACTGAGAACACATGTTAACGAGGTCCTTATCAGTTGTGTTTTGGTTGAGGCCACGAATATAAAGATTTGTCTTCGATAGCTGCTCCGCTTGCTGACCCTGCATAGCGTTATTGCTGAGACTCGTGCTCATTGTTCCGCTTTGACTACCGGTAGCACTGCTGGAGCTGCTGTTTGTGTTCGCTGGAGACGAAGCAGTAGGCACCCGCTGACCACCGTACTGCAAATCACAACGACACGATGTAAAAGTCTGATATAAAATAATCTCACGTTATTGCAAGCCCTATGCAAAAATTCTACATAAAACATTTCAACACTCTGTGATTCTGTGTAAAAATTCAACACAAAATTACAAGGAAATAAATTTGACGAGTAAACTTACAGAGCAATAACGCATTTGCTAAATGAAATTATCTTTTCGGAGAAAATATCTAGTGTTTACCACCGCGAGGTCAAAGTCGAATAGGCCGTTGACTGCGATATTGCGATGGAGGATTGGAAGAAATAAATGAAATTCCAAATACTAATCTCTTAAAGCCCGCCTAGTTTTCTTAAAATGCTCTCTTCAATACCTCTATCTTCAGGTTCATCGTACATGTTTTGTGAGAATCTGATATATTTAATGGATCAAGCGTCTAAGAGCTTTTATCATCTATAATCCGTCTTATAATCTTTGCGACTTCTACAAGAGCAAAGACTAACGGAAAACAAAGAAAAAGAAAAATAGCGACTTGTATTCTTTCTACAGCTACAGGTTTAAGAGCCGTACTTATCCATCAACATGCTCGACAATACACACGTGGCACGATTATCTATCCTAAACGATGAAAGAGAATCGGACGAAAAAGCAATCGTGTGTGAGTCATCAGAGACAGATTTCTTCGCGGGTGCAGCGTTGATACGCATCTCGTCTTCGAGAAATCGAATCTACCTCACGGGGAACAACGAATCTCTTCCCTCCTTCTCTTTCTCACCGGGTGTCGCTACGAAAGCTCACAGCCGCTACGTCAACGACGTCGGCGCACACTTACCGACGCATGCTGCGCGTAAGAAGCAGCGGTGACGAAGGGATTAGCGGAAGTCGGCAGCTGCTGTGGACCGCCGACCGCCGCCGCTGCCGCCGCTGCGCTCGGGTACCGCGTGTAGGGCGGATACGCGGCCGCCGCCGCCGCCGCCGCGACCGCGTGCGACGGCGCCGTGCTCCAGGTGGCCGCTCCGCCGCCACTCGCGCGATACTGCACCGGATTGCCACCTCTCGGCCCGCCGGCCGCGTTGCCCTTCAAACCGCCGTGGCCGCCACCGCCACCGCCACCGCCGCCGCCGCCGCCGCCACCGCCTCCAGCGCCGGCCGCGGGTCCCACGCCGACGCCACCGGCACTGGCACCGCCGCCACCGCCGCCACCACCGCCACCTCCGCCGCCGCCGCCACCGGCACCGCCTCCGCCGGCACCGCCCGCGTTACCGTTGTTGGCGCCCACGTACGCCGGTCTCGGGCCGTTCGCGCCCTAAAAAACAAAGGAAATCTTCGTCAGCCAGGAAACCAACCCACGATGGTTCATTTCGATCATTTGCAATCGAAGAATGCGGGTCTGGTTAGAGCGAGAGAATGGAGTTTATGCCTGTTAAATGTATTCTCTCTCTCTCTCTCTCTCTCTCTCTCTCTCTCTCTCTCTCTCTCTCTCTCTCTCTCCCTCTCTCTCTCTCTCTCTTGTAAAAACGATTAGCGGGGTATATTTCCCGCTCGGTGACCAACAGACACCTGGGAGTGAGGAAGACCGAACGATTGAGTGTGACGTATTATTGAAGCTTATCAACATGGACGCAGTGACGCCGAAGGAGTACCGGGAACGCCGAGTGGGCTTATCAGCGAGCCCTCCGGTTTGAGAATGTTCAGTCGATGCGCTTTTATCGCGCGTAATAACGCGATCGACTGTTATTACCGTGTTGATCTAACCCGGTTCAGAAAAAAGCACAGCCGCTCCCCTCTCAATGTTTCGAAAAAATAATCGTCATGCGGCTTACGGGCCGATTATCTTCAACGGAGAAAGATATCAACGCGTTTCTTGGTACGTTCCCCGTTACGTAACGGAGGGAGAGAAGAAGGAAAGGAGGACCGCGACAAGTGCTCGATATCGGATATTTTGTAATAAACAGCGCTTGCAATATTCTAACGTCAGTCTTAAAATGTTGGGACAACCTCAAGGAGAAAACGACTTCGAAAGTTCGCAGGAGACGAAAGCCGCCAGCGACTCGCCAGTAGCCGAAGACATCCCCTCAGCGACTCGCGCCGCGTAATCAGAGTCAAGCGGCGGCTCAAAGTGCCGGTCGGCCGGAAAATAAGCGCGACAACGAAAATGGAGAGCAAGACGAAAAGGGCGGCGCACGGTGCGGCGAACGAGCTTGCGTTATTGCAATAACGTGCGCAGATGTGGTGAACAGGAAGTGACATCCGGTCCTCCCGCCGGATCACGATACCGGATCGCTCGTGTGTACATTTCGCACGTCGTTCTCTATTTCGCGCGGTGAGCCATGGCCGGTTGGCTCGCACCGCCCCCCCCCCCTGCGACTGTCAATGACCACGATGATCGTCGCCGAATCAGCCGTCCCCGCTTATCGCCCGGCGCGTCAGCATGAGAATTTAGACAGGACGCCTGCCTCGGGATCCTGCAGCGAGTCGCTCGGATTCTCTCCCCGCTTGCGGATTTCGAGCTGCTCTTTATCTGAATGTTGCCCGCTGCTTAAGCGATCCTCTTTTCCCCCGACCGGCGAAGAGCGCTCGAGGCGTGGACGTCAGAATTGTAGAAGACACGTCTATAGACTTAGATATCTCGATGGATATTTCATTAGATGCGCCGTGAATGTCGCCTTTCTTTGTAATAAGTATTCTGGTTTGCACAGATATGTGTGTTTGCACAGTGTGTGTGTGTATTCTATAGAACAAAATATTTATAACGTGATATTTACGGAGCATCTAATGAAACATCCATATGTATGTGTGTATGTGTGTGTGTTTAAATATATATATTTAAATTTAAATATATTTATATACAATATATTTTTATATAATTTAAATGTATATAAATATATTTAAATATAGAAACAAAGGACGGATCATGTCTGTGAAGTGTTGGCATGACATTCTTTAAATTTAACTAGAGTTCCTGATAGAAAATAAAAAGAGTTCCGCATTTTTAATACCAAAAAATAGCAAATGAAAAATTATCGTGCTAACTGCGAATCTAGCACGACACTTCCCCCTCTAATCTATAAGAAATCAATAAATACCACTGCTTTTAGCAAGAGTTCCCGTTAATTCCAAGTTAGTTCCAGTTTCATCTCTGTATATAATTAAAATAAAAGAAAATTGCAATAATTACGTTATTTACATAAGCAATGTATATTGCATACCTGGCATGATACTCGGCGAAAAAATATCGTGCTGATAATTTCTAGCGAATTTTTCGATATATATCGACAGTTCCACATGAGTTTTAACAACTACGATCATTTTTAGGCAGAGTTTTAGGCAGATTTCTTATAGATTAGAGGAGGAAGTGTCGTGCATTAGATTCGCGAAATTAGCACAATTTTTCATTTGCTATTTTTTGGTATTAAAAATGCGAAACTCTTTTTATTCTCTATCAAGAACTCGAGAACTATGAAAAGTGCTACTAAAACTATCATTGTGTTTTTTTTTTATTTAAAGAATGTAGTGCCAACTTCACACAAACACGGACGGATCTATGCAGGTATTTGTAACTCGCGGGGATATATTGCCATTAGGATATCGTGGAATACATGTTAAGCGAATTATTGAATCAAATAACCGGCCATCGGCGCTGACGGAGACACGCTATCGACATTACAGTCGCTCTTAAATGCTATTAGAAAGGTACGCTGCGCGATGCACCGGCACGAACGCGCCGTGGAGAAGACGAAGGAGGGTGAAGGCTACGAGCGGGAGTCTGGCCGTTCTTTCTCGTTATCGGAGAGGCGTGACCGCGCGAGGTCACTGATAAATGATAACGACGGGAAGGGGCTCCACTTCTCCTTATCGACGTATCGGACCGATGAAGACGAGCGTAAGACTACGGGGCGGTGTTGCAGGCGAAGAAACGCGATCGCTTTCTAAAACGGTGCGCCCGTAGTTTCGCCCGTGGAAATCGACCAGTCGATAGACAGAGAGAGAGAGAGAGAGAGAGAGAGAGAGAGAGAGAGAGAGAGAGAGAGAGAGAGAGAGAGAGAGAGAGAGAGAGAGAGAGAGAGAGACCAATGGCGTCGATATTAGCACGTATCAATTCTGTCTCAGCGGGAAATTTAATACAAGATAGAACGTAATTCGCAGCGTGTAACCGCAAAACGAGAAAGAAGGAGAGAGAAAGAGAGAAAGAGGGAGGGATGGAGGGAGGGAGGGAGGGAGGGAGGGAGGGGGGGGGAGAGAAAGAGAGAGAGAGAGAGCGAGAGAGAGAGAGAGAGAGAGAGAGAGAGAGAGAGAGAGAGAGAGAGAGAGAGAGAGAGAGAGAGAGAGAGACGTGATCGCCTCGCGTTGAAACGACTCGAAAATGCGGAACTCGACGAAATCTCCACGCTCGGTATTTAATTTCCGAGAAAATCGACCGCGAGAGAAGGAGGAGGAGGAGGAGGAGATCGAGCAGGCATTTTTGTTCACGGTGTTTAACACCATGGAGCACCCGATCATCACGCGGTCGCGTCTTTCTTTCGGCTGCGCGTACCGCCAATTACGTCCCCGTTCGTAGCCGAAGTGAAAATGCAGTGAAATTCAGGCCGCCTGCCGACCTTGCTCCCGGGTTATCGCCTGTTAACGCAGCAGGATCTGAGGCGTATCAGGATGCTTCGGATAAGAGAGATCCGTTTCTTGCCGACGACTCTATAAACGGCGCGTTATTTACCATCACCTTCATCCTGCAATCTTCGCCGAGACTGCGAGCGAGCGAGCGAGCGAGCGCGTTTATCACATCGATCGTATTATCATAACGCTAATTGGACGCGCTCTACGTGAATCTGGTCTCTCGCGCTTTCTTCTAAGGACGACGATCCAGGATCCAGGATGTGTGCGCCACATACTGGAGAAATAATGCACGCGAGAGAGTGCGTGCGCGAGAGCGATCTCTCCTTCTCCTCCTCCTTCTCCTCCTCCTCTTCTGTCGGATGTTGTCACGCTCTATTAGCGAGCGGACACGCGCCCGCGATATCTCGGAATGCGCTCTTCGCGCGATCCTCTCGCCGCCCATTTTGGAGAAATTTCCGGCCGAGCCGCGTAAAATGGCGTCACCGCCAACGATCCAAATCGTGATCGGGCATGTAATTGCAACGCGTCGAGCATAAGATGCAACGTGTAATCGCTGCGTGCGGAAGCATATGAGACGGCATGTACGATGATCGTGAAATAAACCGGAAAGGGAAAAGGAAGAATGAAAACGATAAAATTATTCAAATCGACGTCGTCACGCCGTTGTTCGGCGCACGCTGCCGGCGGAATCGCGTCCCGGCACTCGGTGGTATTCTCTCTCTCTCTCTCTCTCTCTCTCTCTCTCTCTCTCTCTCTCTCTCTCTCTCTCTCTCTCTGTCTCTCTCTCTCTCTCTCTCTCAAGGTAAAGAAACGGAATGCGCGGTATGCGCGCGAGGAGGCGAGGAGGAGCTAGATCTTCCACGCGCGAACGATGCAACCGCAGGACTACATTTCTCCGCACCTCGAATTCACCTCCTCCTGCGCACGCGCGCGCGCTAATGGCCCGACAATTAGAACTCCGGCGACCTAATTTATTTTTAAAGACTTTCAACTTTGGGCTCGCCTCTAGCGAGCCGTGCGAGGCCCTTTTCGTCTCCGGAAACTCGAGGAAATTAAGAGGTAAACCAAAACGTCGTGTCGAATTAACAAGTTAACCCGTCCGCTCCACGTCGCGGTCTGATCTCCTCTCGACTGCCGCGTCAACTTTTCTACAAACTGGTCGTAATCAGCGGAGGTGTTTTTAGCAGTGTTTAAAAATCTCACACTATTACTACCCAATTGGGTGTCTTTTGAAGATTTCTCACCCCCCATTAAAAAAAGAAAAAATTTCTTCAAGAATGAGACGACGGATTATAGACCCACCAAGCTCTCCACGACGCTCTGCTTGGTCACTCTCGTGAATATCCGAGGAATTTCGCCGCGAGCGCCTCTCGGCGAATCCTCAATCGTCCGACGAGAGTGCACCGCGTCGAACACATCGCCGGCCGATGCATCGCATACACATTTTGCGCGCGGGAGGAAACGAGGACGTGCACGCGTTTCGCCAATGGCACGTATCCTCTACGTGAGCGACGTATACACGCACGCGGCACGCGATGCAGAAGAAGGACGAGTCGGACACTGCGACGGGCACAGCAGCATCATCATCATCGGGGGAAAAACGCACGAGTGCAACACACGAGTCGACGGAAGACGGACGCCGGCATTGTTACGGATACATTGACAAGTGGATACGCAAGTTGGGTACGCTAATTA